TGGCCCGGCTGCCAGCGACGGCGCTGGGAGCGTGGCCACGTGCAGCTCCTCAGCCCTTGTCATCCGGGCCGCCTGGCACGGCGCCCCCGGGAGCCTCTGCAGCTCCGCCAGTCTCTGCACTGCTCCAAAGCTCTCATTTCCCTTTTTATTGCTGTCTTTCAGTTCTCAAGCACAGCTCCTGGGCTATCATCTCGGTACGTACTCTCTGGGCAGCCCGGTGAAGTTCCTTTTTCTCAGGGCCTCATCCACAGTCAGGATGTAGCTGTTGATCAGGTCCTTCATCTCTGGGGTGAACGGCTCAAAGCCCTTCTGCTTAGTACCCGAGCGCTTGAAATTCCCATCCCGGTTGTTTTCCACGCACAGCAGCCGGTCCTCTGTCACCGTCATGTTCAGGAACGCCACCATCTCCCTCAGCGTGGGGATGAGGCTCTGCTTTAGGTCCTCATAGTGGATGACGAGCAGGCGTTTCCCATACTTGAGCCAGTCCAGGACGTGGGACGCCCACCACGAGGCGTAGCTATTCACAAAATCAGGCCATTCTAGTGGGAAAGCAGGGGAAGGAGACTGCGTTAGTCATGCTGAGCTTTAACCATTTCCCACATGTTACCTTGGTGCAAGGTGATAGCTCTAATGCTGGTCTAAGCTTTGGGTGGCCCGAAGCATATCCTTTCACCATTGTGGTTCTCCTACCTCTTAATGCCCTTTTCAAATGTTGCCTGAGAAGGCCGGCAGGAATGCCCTTGCTCCTCCGTGTGTGTGTGTGTATGCAGCGTCCGGCACGATGCCGCTGTGCTCCTGCCTGGGGCCCTGCGTGCTGCTGACTTCAAATGTGCCACCTGCTCACCCCCCTGCTCTGGGGAGGCTGGGTAGGAAATAGGATTAACGAGGAAGGTTCTTCTCTTCCTGCGCGTGAGAAGCAGCACTTGCTGCTTGTGGCCCTCAGTTTAATTTTCTGCGGGTTGTGATAGAGGCGCCTGAAGGCTGGAGCTCGGGAGCGGTGCCTTACCTTTGCTCTTCCAGTTCCTGTCTGTCGCGTAGCCCAGGTGCCCGGCGTATTTCCTGTTGAACTCGGCCACCAGTGACTTGTACGGGTTCCTTATCAGCAAGATTGCGGAGTCAAACATCTCGATCTCTGTCTTACCACTTTCATGTGTTTTCACACAGACGGTCCTTCTGCTTCTCCAGTGGTCCTTTTCTCCTTTAAAACCTGTTTTGTAAGGACAGCATGATTTGGTTTTTCGCTTGTAAGGATGTCTGTGCCTTCCACATTATAAAACATAGTGTAAAATGTTATGAGCACCGCTTTGGTCATCTAGGGCCCGGGGCTAGAGCTGGAGTTTATTCTTGGCCTTGCCTCTGACCACTACCAGGCATTGTCGTTTTACTTGGCTTGGGGTCCTCTTTCTGCGTGTCCTCGTTGCCTGCCCCAAGGAGCCCTTGCGTGCCTTGCAGCGGGGGCGCGTGCTGGAAGGCAGCGCCCGTGCTCCGGGGCGCCTCGCTGCGGACAGCGCTGCCCTTCGCAGGGTCGCTCTGCCCTTGCTGTCACGCGCCCGGGGGGGTGGCCTCTCCAAGCAGCGGTAGCACTTCAACTTATCCCAGATCTCCCGCGTGCTGCTGAAAGGTCTCGGGGTTCTGCCCGTGTGTCTTTTGGGCTGTTCGTTTGCATGGGAGCTGCGTGTGCACCTGCACAGCGAGAGCACTGCAGGTGACTTGCAGCTTTGCAGAGTGCTTTTGTGGAATACCTGCCTGTCAGGCTTCACCTGCTTCCTTTTTAAGTGTCTGCTGTCTCCATCACATGAGCCCTCTCATTCCAAAGACATGTTTAGGCGTTACCAGATGCGATGATAGTGACAGCCTATTTCATTCTAAACAGGAGACTGTCAGAGCAGGTAAAGGGCTGTCCCAAACGCTTGGCTTCCCCACTGCTGGGAACGGTACCTTTGTTGTATAGGGTGCCATCGAAGTAGTAGCTGCCCGTGTAGTATCCCGTGGCATGTTCTATTAAGTGACGAGCCCAGGTATTCCCAGCCCCAGGAAAGCTAGACAAAGCAACGAACACTTTGGATTTTGTGGTTAAGAACTTCCGGTCTGTGCAGCGGGTGTCTGTGGAGCACAGAAGAGATTTTACTGTTAGCATTGTGGCTTTTTAATAATCCTATCAACAGCGCATGATTACAGGGTATATTTCAGCTTTTTTTATACTTTTATCAATGCAAGGTATCAATTTGAGTCTTGGTTGTGAGTCAGCTACTTCCCAAAATTAATTCATCCATAAGAAGCTGAAGAGATTATCCTCTGGAGAGGTTTTTGCCGGGTTTGTGTTAGGACATGCTTTATTGTTGGAACTGCAGCTAACTATTGTACTTGCCAGCAAGTCCTGACAAAAGGCCTTGGATGCCTGTTTGTCACCTGCTGCTTGCTGGCAGGCCACCTCTTCAGCGAAGGCCGGAACGCGCTTTGTGCCTGCGAACCGCCGGAGAAGCCCCTCCTGCTGACGGGAGCTCCGGTTCAGTTAGACCTCTTAGGCTGTGATTTGCCTCAGAAAGGCCTAAGGCAGTTAAAACCCAGGTCATGTGAATTCAGTGGGGGCCAGACACCTGCTTTTCATATGTGATTTTTGAAAATCCCACCCTTATTTCTCTGGGTGCCATCAAAAACGAACGTGGTAAGACGTAGTAGGAGTTCAGTGGAGCTAGATGCATGTGCGCGGGTGGGATGCAGGTGAAGGGGACTGGGAACCGGAGCGCAGCGATCCTTATTCCCCACCGCCCCGGGGATGCTTTCCCAGCCTGCGTCGCGTTTGCTTCATCTGCAAAGCAACTAACTTTTCCTGCCGGGAGGCCGTGTTACTTAATGAAAAGATGTTGGGAAAATACTTGGAAAAGCACGTGTGTGAGGGGAAGTGCAAGGGGGGAAATGAGGGGGCA